TAATGGTTCTGATAATAAATGTAAAACAAATGTCTCGAAGTGTAAGAGAATACTGGAAACATCTTTTGTGATATACCACTTTAAGGAATTAAGCACTACCTATATAATCTGTATATATAATTTTATACACCAGATACATTCATTTATTTATGTAAGAGGTTTCTGAAACATATTGCCAAGTGAGGCAAACATATTTAAGGCTTGAATTTCAAAGCAAATCTTATTGTAAAAGGTGGGAACTAGAAACGAATGTCCATTATTACCATATTAAAATTTAAAACAAAATTCAAGTTTACTATAAATAATATTTAAACTAAATAGACGTAGGCACTAAAATTACACGACAATTAACACATTATGTTAAATATATAATCTTATCCATTTAAGATTGATGTAGTCTTTAGTCTCCAAATAATTTATTATGCTGTATAGACGATCGCATTACACATCCATTTCATTTGTATCCCGTTAATTTTTGGCGATGTACACTCGAGTTGAAGTGCGATTCGTGATACTTGTCAATGCTTTGTAACTATCTCGGCCCACCCATCAACTGATTGAAGTTTGTTTGTAGGAATTAAAAGATGAGGCAATATGCGCAAAGTTTGGCTCATAGTGCAAATACTAAAACGTACCTTGAGATAAACGAACCGTAATGCATCTTGAAATTATACAGCTAGTCATTTAATCAATGCAGATACATCATATGTTGACTTTTAAGCCCGCACTGGTAAATTTATGATTTTTTGAAAGTAACTTAGTTAAGAAGGAAAGTGACTCGAAAATATCTGAGATATTTACTTAGCAGTGATTGTATTCATTAAAATTGTAAAGATGTTTATTTACAGTAGACATTTAAACCCATAGTTTATTAAAATATGAATAGATGAACCAAAGTGCTTTAGATAAGTAATCACTAGGCCTAATAGTGTGCGTCGATGGCACAGCGGTATAATGTTCACCAACCACGTATGTGGTTCAAGGTTCAATCCCAAGCCGACACACTCATTTAACTTCTCTAAGCCAGTAATAAGACTGGTGAAGAGGGAAGGTTGGGCACGAAGCTAGCAACTCCATCCCATAAAAATAAATATTACTGCTGCTGAAACTTCAAAGCTCTAACCTGAAGCCACACGTCCCACTGAGAACACAAAAGAATAAAATCAAAAAATCAGGCCTAATAGTATGATAGCAGAAAATGTATAACAAGGTTAAACCTCAATAACTATGATGTTTTAGCTATTGCCTTAGAAGATCATTTAGTGAGTTTGATATATGAATTTCGGGAGAAATTATCATCAACTAGAATATAATACTCGTAAGATAGACAAATAAATGTTTTATTTTTAACTAGAAAGGATGGTAAAGCAATTCACCAGTGAATTTAAAATATATTGGTAAAAACAGTCTTTTTCCGTTAGCAGGATTCCACTACCCTAAAATAGCTACCTAGCGAAATAATATTAATAATAATTATCATTATAACAGTAAACTAATATTCCCATAATTTATTCGTTTTGAATTATAACAGTTTCAAACTTTCTAAAAAGAAGATATGATCACATCCTAACTACCAGCACCATCAATAGCTGGAATACCAAGGACAAGTATTCATGACGTTTTGCCACAAATAATATTTACTGAATAAAATTGCTGAAAAAGAGGAAGAGACTTGGGACTAACAAGACTCAACTGAGGTTACTTTAGATATGAGAAGACAGTAGTCACAGACTGAAAGTATCACAATTTAAAACTGTGGAACTGAATCACAGATAGTTTCACCTTTTATTAGCATTAAATCATTTTCCTGTTCTTCTAAATCCAGTTGCCTTTCGTTTAGCACGCCCGCTATGCTTCTATCTCCTTCCATGTACCGTACAAGTGTGACAAAGTAAACTAATATATTCCATAATTCAATCAGAAGAGAATTTATTTTTTAAAAGTTACCTTTTTAACCTATGTCATACTGAAATAAGTAAACTTTTGTGATGAAGAAATAAATGAAATAACGAAATAATTGCATGAGTGTCGTAAATTGGCAGAAGTTTGAATTCATGGGTCATTGGGTCGAGTCCTAGTGGCTGATTAATGGTCTACGAGCTCGCCTTGTAACCAATAGGTCCCGGGTTCAAAACCCAATGGGTGCGCACTTATGAAGAGTCAAAAACTAGGACGAAACAGCTATCCACTAATCTCTGAGGGTTTTCCAATGACCCTCTAACCGATGTCAGCTCATGATGAAATCCTGTAACCAATCAATCAAATGCCTACAAATGAATACTTCGATATATTACCATGTAACAACCACGTTAAATGCCTAGATAATTAAAAATTTTACTGTCTGATTTCAATATTTCAAGAGTGAACAAACGAATCTAAACTGCAGGAAGGATGTCTTTTGTTATTTCAATGTAGAACTGAAAGGTGTATTAGAGAAATACACTTGAAATCTTTTTTTAAAAATGAATCTATTTGAGTCTAAACATACTGACAAATTTTGATTTGACACTAGTAATTAGTGTGACGTGTCTAGTCCTTTCTTTGGCGCAGACTGAATTCTATCAGTCAGGTTTGCAATATAGCCACCATTCTAGGTAGCTGGCCATCACGTTGCTTTCCTGCCGGTTGCCTCCAACTACCTAATACCAACAAATTGCCTAGATATTAAAAGAAAACTTTTAGACTAGACACTTTGAAGTTATTGGTTATGACGACATACTAACTATACTCATTTTTCCTCTTAATGTTTAGAATTTTCGACAAAAAATAAAAACTGATGCAGACTAACATCTCGGCAAAAAATACTAATAAAAGTTAAGTCATGTGATGAGAAGCAATTAAACAAACAGTCCACAGATAAATTTGAAAGTAACAGAAAAAATGCAAGTGAAAGCAAGGGCATGTGAAACAAAGCTTGTAATATTGTCATTTGCATATTTAATCTAAAAAGAAGGAAGCATAATGAATCCATTGAATTTATTCCTAAAGAGAAATGCATCTATTTAAGGTACTAGAGTTCTCTCTACAACATCCTGTAAAGAAAAAGTGAATAGAATGTGACTCTATCCTAATAACGAACAAAACACAGGGAAAGTACAATACAATAAATGCACACGAATTAGGTGTTCACAAAATGGACATTACGTCAATGATAGTAGATATTCACATTCGTCCAACAGCCACGGCTGCTTTACACATTTCAAATCAAAGTAACAGGTGAACAGATTACTTTGACTGATAACGATTAACAATGGAATTCAAGATAAAAGTCTCTTTTCGGTGAATTCATTAACTCAGCTATACAATTGCTTGTATACATAATTGTTTTGTGTGTGTGTGTGTGTGCGTGTGTGTGTGAACAATAGGATTGTCAAACAAAAAATAACCCTAGCTAATTTCTTACTTTTTTTTAACAATCCTAATGGACAGCTTAATGATTGAGTTTGCCGAAAAGAGATTCTTCGCTGTACTTTTCTGTTCTGATATTAATATCTGGATAGGTATTTCACATGAGTCCGAGATACACAAAGAACAAAACTCGGGTTTACAACACCAATGTTGAGTCATTCAGTCATTCTTTTTATATAGGGTAGAAACTTGCCACGCGTATCAAAGAAATCCGTTCAGAGAGCCCGCTGCAGACTTTTATCTGGAGTTGACTTCGATGTTCTATATTAAAGATAAGATGGCCAATGAGAAGGAATTAACAGCAAAAAACTCTGGGAACAAACCAGTCAAATACCTGTTACTCAAAAATATGCGAAAGGAAATGGAGATGGATCGGACACACACTGAGAAGAATGGTGAATGACATCACGTGACAGGCCATTGCACGATTGGGAACCGGCGGGGAGACGACAACTTATGGGTGGGTTCGAGGGTTATATGGAAGAGGTCATGTGAGGAGGAGATGAGAACCTATGTGAAATCATGGGGGCAGCTGAAGAGGTTTGCAGACAATACGAAAGAATGGAGATGTGGTGCTGAAGCTATATTTTCCAATATGAACTCAAAGGAATAACAATAATAATTTCGTACTGTCCGGGACTCATCAGTCAGTGATGGTGTTCCCACTAAGACTAGACCCTTGCAATCATCTTTTTAAACCTGGAAGCATTATCGACTAGCCCACTTGGCCACGACAGCCATCTCTTTTATAATATAGCAACAGATGAAGACTTCAAAAATCCCCGGAATTTGTCAACTATTTCGAGACTTACATACATTTTCAGGGTAGAAAGTGGATTGAGTCTGTCTCAAGCTAAATAAATTTTCCACCACGTACTATAACTACCACTTAACTTTGAAGATAATATACCTAATTCACGCTGAACAGATGAATTCAGTTCACAGAATTCTAAATGAACCATATATACGAATGAGTTTTGTTTTGCTGACCATGGACACTCCACTGTGCCGATAAAGAATAAAATTTAAAAAAAGAGATATTGAAATCCAAATAAAGTAAATAGTCAAAAGTGTCATTTGCAGATCAATACAAGGATTATTCCATATCACGTATTAAACAAATCTTGCACTATTCAATTAAATCTATCGATCTCAATAGTGTGCATAAGATCAATTACACATTGTTGTGCATTTAGGTGACTGTGGATTTCGATTATTCGCAGAACTATTAGTTAAAACAACACACAGGTCGACTATAGCTATATCACTTGAAGTTCCTAAATTTAAAAATTTCCCTTCATCTACATTTGAAAATAAAACATCGAGTAGTTCAATGGCCAACAGCATAATAAAGACTGTAATATTCAAGGGAACTGTTTAAAACATTCGAGGTATAGGCTTTTAAAAAATAATCGGTAATGCTTATTGAAACGATAACAGGTTAAATTATTGACTAGGCACTTCATTTGTTCCCTATTGCTTCGATAGGAAGATGTCAAAACAAGATGCATAAACAAAGCAATAAAAAAAACAGGAAAAGAAACCGCTAGACTAATCGCAGATTATTGTAAATAAAAACAAATGCAGCTTACCTTTACACAACAAACAGAATTTGTATTTCGATTACGACATTTATGTACAGTGGAGAATGAACCTTTACCAATCTCTTCTAATAAAACATAATCCAGTGTGAATGGTTTATTTTTAACACCAGGTAGACCGGATAATCGAAGAAAACATTTGGCAACTGAAGGGGTTAAAGGCGGTAGATCTTCTGGAATGTATGAATGATTTGTTCGATCTTCATGGCATGGCAAGAAAGAAAACAGATGAATAATAACTGTAATGAAAATTAAACAGCAAATGTCATAGACTGTAAACACTGTTTTAATAGACTTGAGCTTTGAAACTGTATGAAAATATATGGTATCTTGAAAAGTTAAATGTAACACCCTTTATGGAAGAGATATGAAGAATATAGTGTGCTAATTAGTCTTTTATGTCTTAAAGTCACTAAACAAGTGGTTAATAAAAATGCAATAAACACCTAAATAAACGATATAGCTGCAACTTGACACAATTATAGAGTTAATTTACTGATATTTCAAAGTGTGAATACGCACTTAGTCGTCTCATAGCTAGTCAAACGGGTAAATTCCATGCACTACACAAATCTATCAATACTTCATTTCTCATACTTCAGCCTAGGTTTACTTTATAAAAGAATGTCATTAAAGTGTTCTATCCGATTTATCGAATCTTAATGCTTCATTCTATTCATATATATATATATATATATATATACATACATAATATTCAGTCACTCCGTTGGAATCTAATGATCAGTCACTTCTACTTCCTGTCAGTTTACAATGTAAAGCCTAACTGACGCCTGTTCACGATGCATTTTATACTGGCATAAATCGAAACTGCATGGAGGATTTCATCATGAGCTGACATCAGTTAGAGAACCACTGGAAAACCTGAGAGTACTGGGCAGCTGTTTCCTCCTAGCTCAGCTCATGATGAAATCCTCCATCCAATCAACCAAAAATCCCTACGAAACCAATACTTGAAAATTAATTTTGTGCTCACTAGCGACTGGCTCTATTCAGGCGATGACGTGGGGTTCTAGTGGGAAGTCGTGACCAGGAGGGTACAGCAGGTTGAAGATGAGGTAGTAACTCATTGAAGAAGACATTTCGAAATGGTTGCGCTCTGTCGTGAATTGGCAGAAGTCAGAAATCAAGGACCATTGGATCGGGTCTCGGTGGCTCAATGGTCTACGAGCTCGCCTTGTAACCAGAAGGTCCTGGATTCGAACCCCGGTGTGTGCGTAATCTGAAGAGTCCCAGACTAGGACGATGACTGATGTCAGCTCATGATGAAATTCTCCATGCAATCAAACAAAAAATCCCTACAAAACCAATACTTGCAGATAAATCGAAATTCCTACAAACTCGAAAATAGAGACAATAACTGCATAAATTAAGGTACGATTTTGTATACAACACACAAATTAATAATACACTTAGATCAGATTGTATTTTCTACAAATTGTAAGAAAATTACAAAGTAAATCCCTCATATATTCAAGCTTTTTTTAATTTTTAGTTACATTTTAGATAAAAAGTCACACTTTCCATTATAATGAAAACACTTATTTTATACCATACACCCAAATATACACCACGTATATATCTAATCGTTGTCCATACATTCAATCACAGGAAACTTAAATTTGGTATCAATAAAATCTATTGATTCTCACATAAATGGAAGGAAATTCTTCTTCTAAAGTGTCTAATAATAATAATAATAATAGTAAGAAGAGTAAAATCTATGGTTAAAATATTCCTATTACAGAAATAGAACCAATCTCTGCATCATGCCAATAAAAGACGTATGTAGGTGGTGAAATAATTAGAGAGAGACAGGAGAATAGATTCACCTAAATATTACCTATAAACGAAAAAACACGTAATTGAAATGAATCCATGCCAAATTTTAGTAGTCACAGTTAGAATGTCCATACAAATTGATGGAAAAAAATTAAATATTGCCAAAAACAAAACAGTAAGACCTTTTCTCCTTTATATCGTCAAGGTAAAAAAAACGAATAATGTAGACATAGTAAACATACCTTCTTCACGTCTAGGAGTATTATTGTTATTATTATTATTATTAGTAGTAGTAGTAGTAGTAGTAATTTTTCCTTCATTTGAATTGAAATGACTAATATTTGCACCATTCAACACTTCATTATTGTTATTGTTACTATTACTAGCATTATTACTGTTTACATGGTTGTTATTATTTGTAGCAAAAAAGTTAGGTTCTTGTTCTGTAAAAAATCCTGGTGCTACATAACTGAATTCACGGAATAACGCGTGAGCTGATGCACTTGCCGGAGGACATGGAGAATCTATAAGTTACAGCAAACAATAAATTTTGAAACATTAAACATATATAAATATATAATACACAGGTTAAGATAATCACGGTAACACATAATATGTCATTTACAATGAGCTCTAGAGGACTGATTACTGAACAAAGGATATTATTTCTGATAATTTCCTGATCAGGCTCGACCCACATTTATATGACTGTTATAATTAAAGCACGATTTTCGTCATTAACAGCATTAGTGCTGTTAGGATCCTCGCCGACCATGCACATGGTCCGAGGTTCGATCCCCTGCCGACGCACACCTGATATCTATAGTCGGTCTGCAAAATTTGGGCTACCGATATCCATTCTGAAAATTCCATACTTGTACCAAAATACAGTGTGGAATCAAGCTGTTAATCAAAAATTAAAAAAATTTTTTAATTACATTAAATAAGCAGATTATATTTCAAAAGCATTAAGTAAGAGAGGATCATCCAAAATGGAACAGTTTTTTCAACTCCTTTCATCTTCTACATCCCCACATTCCACTGTTTTCTCAGTTCAGTTCATGTTTATGTAGTACGTATTATTCTGTGCTAAGCTCTGTGAAAACACGTTATACACTTTAAACAAATCAGAGACATTGCTTTTCTTGAGTAAGTCCAAATGCTGTCGTCTTAATGAAATGACGGTTATTTGTGGATGAAGACATTAAAACTAGGAATCGGTGATCTTTCAATTCTCTAACATTTCCTTGCACAGGGAAATTCGTCTAAAAACAAATGAAATTCCCCAGCAATCGAGAATATTTAGTAGACAAATGAAATGATCGACAATACATGTTGACCCTTCCGATTATTTTAAAGTGCAGTAAACAAAACCGTAGGTTAAAGAAATCTAGTGTAACAAAGATAAATATGACAACTGAAAAAGAATTAAATAAATTAAAAATATACGAAGAATAATACAACAATTATTATGATTTTATTATACCCTAAGGTTCCGAATGGAACACAAAGTTTCAACAGAACATCTCCATTATGTCTTGTCCTCTGTAATTCTCTTCAGCTGACTCTAGGATTGCGCGAAAACTTTTGTTTTCTCCTCTCACAGTCTCCTCCATCTCACCTTCGCACGCAAACCTCACTATTTCTCCCTCAGGTGATGGCCTGGCGTGTGATGTAATTCAACGGTCTCCTCAGAATACGCCCGATTTGTCTCCATTGTCTTCGGAATATTCATTGAGCAATAGACTCTTAGTCGGTTAGTGGCCACAGTTCTCTATTGCTAATCGTTTCGGAACGACCATTTGATCCTAAGTTTGGAGCCGGCTGTTGGAAATGTCTTTTGTAACTCATAGTGCAAGTCTATGACCCATCCAGAGGAACTGACTGACTGCAGATTGGTTTTGAAAACTCGAATTTGTTCTATATGGTGAGTGCAGACGATTTTCATACTGATTTCAGGGTCTTGAAGGCCTGTGTCCCCTTTCCATTTCTGGTAGTTGAAGTGACCCTTCCTAGATAAGCGAAGAAATTGACGTCTTTCGAATATCTCCCGTCATAAGGTATTGGTGCTTGTTGTCATTCGTTGGTTTTTTGGTTATCTTTATCACCTTCGACTTCTCTGTTTTCACTTGAAGTCTTGCTTCTTCTGCCAACTTGTTGATTTTCGCCTGTAATTCCTCGAGTTTGTATGATACCAGACATAAATCATCCGCGAAATCTAAATCTTCCAGAATCATCTTATCAGTCTAACGTATTCTTGTATTCTGGCTCTTCACAGTCTGACGTAATGCGACAGAGTTGACTAGAATTGTTTGACTAGTAATGCAAGACTTTCAGAACAGCTCAATCACCATTTCTACAGACTCTTAGACATATTTAGTACTAACACCTACAATATGCATTTCTATCTAATCAAACTATTTAATTAATTTCTAATAACCCGTCTCTCAACATCTCTGAAATGTATTCAAACATAGACGAAATTCATTTTCTACATAACATTGTATATTCAATGTTAAATGGAAAGTGCCGACATGAAAACATCTCATCGAACTAACAAAATATTTCAAATATTTTAGAATGTGCAAAGGACTTCTCTACTCCATCAAAACAAAATCAACTAATTTTTTTTTATTTTTGATTACAACTTGATTTCACACCGTAATTTTGGGACAAGTGGGAATTTTCAGCGTGGATATCGGTAGCCCAAAATTCGCAGGCCGACCATAGATATCAGGTGTGCGTCGGCGTGGGCTCGAACCCCAGACCATGTGCATGGTCGGCGAGAGTCCTAACCACTGTGCTACCGACGCACTAATAACATTTCATAAGTTATTTATAAAGAAGGGAGATGAATTCTACATCAATAAAATTTGGCAAAACATTTAGACATCTATTTAAAGAGAAAATAATTCAAATTCACTTGCTGTTGCTGTAAATAAATACTAAGTATTTAAATAATTTTGATATACTTCCATAACAATCTATCAAATGGTAACTTTGACCGATGAATAGAACCGTCTAACAAGCAATCTCCCTAGAGAGTAAACAGTCAAATCACCATTGTAGTGTCTACAAACTACTATTATTATTATGCTTGTCGTTTCATTTTTGTTGAAAATATTTTAATTCAGTGTCAATATATGCAAATTAATCATTACTATTATTACTATATAATGTATGCATACTGTTGAATGACTACAAAAAAAAGTTTACTATAGTCACGTAAGTGTTTCGAGAAAATTGATAATTTTCTCTTCTCTAATTTGGGAGATACACAGTGAATACTATGCTATAAATTATAAAAGGATATAGTTTCTAGATTACTAATTATTATAAGCAGGAAACAGCAACTTATCAAAATTTAATCCTTACTGGATCATTACGTAGAACACTGAAAACTTAATCCACAGAAATAATATATCAGAATAAAGACTAAAAGATACGTCGATGATTCAGCTGTAGGATGCTCGTTAGTCACAGGTCGACGTACTCATAGACCTCGCTTAGTTGATAGTAAGCCCGGTGGAGAGGGCAGGTCGGGTGTGGGGCTAGCCCCCCCTCCATCCAACAAAAAAACCAACACCACTGAGCTACTGAAACTTCATAGCTCTAGCTTGAAGTCCTGTGTTCCACTTGGAAGGCAAAGGAATAAAATATTGAAATAATATAAGCTAAAAAGCTAGAATTCGCAAGTCTATCAATAGAAAGCCTAGAAAATTATACAGCCATTAGCGGTTTGAGTCCTATAGCAGAAATATTTTTTATTTAATAATTGGTCATTGCGTGGAAATTTGTCACGGCTGTCACAGATACACAAAATATATTGGTAAATATTTTTACGAAAATATGTCACACATATATCTTATCATTGATAACAAGTAATGTAGTAAGAAAAACGCAACAGTCAGTCGAGGATAATAAGGTGTAGTAATTTATTTAATTGGTTTTTCGATCCTATTGTTTATTCTGCTGTCAGAAGTCATGAATTAGGGCGGAGACGTTCGAACAATAAATTGAGTAAACAGAACGATATCCATCATCTTATTCTGCTCGAATTTTAGTCATTCGTCTGTTCCACCTATTGTTGTACAGGCCTTTCTGGAGGATCTAAATCAAACATATTTACACTTATATGTAAATATAGCACTAATAAGACATCAAATCAAACACTAAATTACAAAAATTCCTGACCTTAAACTACTACGTGATTGTTTGACCAACAGAAAAGAAAGTTTTAAATTAATTAAAGAAAAATAAAATTAATTACCACAGTAATCTACGTGAAGAATTTAGGCGCTATATTAGTATATAATTTCATTTATCTCGTTTGAGTCAGATTGTTGAAAATGAATTGTTCACTGGATGAAATTTTAAATAAAATTTATCAGTCCTAATCATATCGAAAGAGAACTTCACAAGTTTTAATTTAGTTTTCATAGTTCCAATTCTTCTGCTTCGTTCCTACAGTAGGATGACAATGTTATACCATTAAAATGCAACATAGCAGGCAGAAAGATGTTCACTGTATAATAAACAGACTGAACTCCTCTCCTATTTACATCAAAAGTCGAACAATCCTTATATATCCCTTGTTATGATGAGTTTCAACAATTACTCAGTTTAAAAAAATCGCTTAGATAGTTCATAATACACATCTTCAGAATTAGTTTTCTGAATAAAATAGTGTGAATTATTAATAAGACGTCTTGGTATTTAGAATGATGAGTACTGAGGTCAAGTCCTCGTGGGAACGCTATCGCTTCCTAGGGAGACAAGTGTATGCAAATGACGAGTCCCAGATAGAACGAGACGTACTTCCTGAATTCCACTGCTTTCCAAAAAACAACCAAAAGAAATATACATATATGAAACAGTTCAAAAGTGAATGCAGAACACTTTTTTAACAAAGGGGACTAATCTTGTTTACAAGGAAATCAAGAAAACATGTTGCTTATGTACTTACAGTCTTATGCAATATAAATGTAATTGCTAGCAAGTTGAGAAAAATTAAAAATGAACATTATGACAAACGAGATATAATTTGGACTATTGATTTTGTCTGAACACTATCCATATGCTGAAGAGTTTATTAAATAGTAAAAGCACAACAGTTACTACAAACCATAGTTTATTTAGTCAAAATAAGAACAAACGATTATTTTCAAGAGTTAGTTTATAGGGATTTGATAATTTGTCTTAAGCTTGATCAGGGATCGACATCAGTTAAATAACCACTGAAAACCAGCGACTACTGGACAGCTGTTTCGTCTTACTTTGCGACTTACCGGCAGAATGCATTCACTGAGGCTTTAAGCCAGGACCTTTCGAGTTACAAGCCAAGCCCACACACCATTCAGCTACTGCGACCTGGCTCGATGACCAGCCCATGACAATTCGTGGTTTTAACACGATTGGCACCGCCCAATGTCATAAGCGGCTAGCAGTTTATCGCACGCCCGACCGGGTGGACACCACTAGTCACGACTTCTCGCTAAAAATTCAGGTGGCGCAGCGGTTAGGACTCTCGTCGACCATGCACATGGTCCGGGGTCCGATTCCCGGCCAACACACACCTGATATCAATGGTTGGGGTGAGGAATTTGGGCTACCGATACCACATGCTTAAAATTCCATACTTGTACCAAAATACTGTGTGGAATCAAGCTATAATCAAAAACACCCAGAGCCAGTCACTAGCAAGCGTCAGAATAATTTTTGAAAAGTTAGTTTGGAGGGATTTGATCTGTCATTTACTTGCACGTAGATAGATTTTTTAAATCCTAATTTATCATTGTCAACTGAACAAAAACTTACTTATTTCAAGCCGCAAATTTATGCATTAAATAATAAGTTTTTAATGGTAACAATCTCAATTTTGCATATTTCAAAATTTTGTTGCAAAAAAGAAACAGAATTTATTGACTAATAGGTTTGTTCAACATGGTTTCTAAAAACTCAACGTCTTCAGCGGTGGCACTTAATATTTAAGCGAAAACTGCATACCAGAGAATCTGAGAATAAGGAATAAAGAAATTAAACGACAGAGTACTTATCAGTCAGATACTCAAAAACACGAACGTAGTTGTTTGTACACAAGTTGCGATTTTATCCCTATAGCTTTACCCTTTTCTAAAACAATTATATATGATGATATTATTCCGGCATAAAGCAGTTTGTGGGAAATATGTTTGTAATGAATGTTCACATATAGTGAATATATCATTCTGTGAATGTAAAGTCAGTAAAAATGGTATGCGTATATGCAGTAACCTTACTCTGAATGTTGCAGAAATTAAAACTTATGGTGTGTTGATATTCCTTGAATGTGATTTTTAACATATCATTCAGTTTGTCCAGGCTAGGCGTAAGCTTCTTGAATAAGATTTACAAAGAATTATACATATATGTGTTGAACTTGGGCACTGTGGTGGTAAGTAATTCCATATTAGTTTGTTTATTAGATGTACCACACAGTGAAACAGTATTATTTACTGGATTGGATCTCTTCTTTCAGGCATAATTTTTGTAGGCTTTCTATTCTGCTTTTAACTCTGTCCGTTGGAACTGGAGCTCGTAGACGTAGGTATTTAGGAATGATTTCATTTTTTAAGCATCGAATGTTGAAAATACGATGATTTCCATATCTTGCTTCACTTTGTGAAAGTCGCCTGACCGATAGCTGCTACCTTGACGTGGTGGTCGGGCTTGCACAACGCAATGATACAACAAGCTACACTGGCAGGAACCAATGTTCCTGCAGGTCCTACCATGCCAGGAAAGTCGTTAGGATAGCGATTAGACTAAAAGCAGTTACCGGCATTGTGTAAGTATCTTTCTTACACTATGCTGGGGGTCTGAGGGCGGAGTTGTACTGCTGGGGAATAGGAGTGTAACAGCAATGAGGTGTTTCCCTCAGATGATCAGCATGCCAGCTGTCTTTCCACTCCGGAGGGAGGGGTTTAGAAAAGGTCGACCCCAAAAACTGTACATCCCGACTTACCCTACGATGGTCCGTAATCGGCGGTAAGTTTACTAATACGGAACCAATCCCAGAAACCAGTACACACAGGCCGTAAGTGATCGGCCTCAAGCAGTTGTCCCTTGGGCTCTGCGATCACGCAAGACTTTTTCTGTTTCAGGTACCCGAAGAATCAATCAACTTCCACGATGTGGGCAGCCGGGGAGTAACAACCGCCCACACACTTCCAAAAACACACGAAGCCTTCCTGAGCATCATTCTCCTTGTGAAAGTCGAGTGCCTTTAATGATAAGACTGGATCCAGCAAATAATACTGTTTCACAGTGTGATACATCTAATAAACAAACTAATATGAAAAGAATTATACATTTTGCTACATCTTCACCACTTCATATTAAAGATCAAATAGCTAGTGAGAAAGAATTAGCATCAAGAAACTATGCAAACGAAGTAATCAAGAACTTATCGCCTAACAGATATGTAGAATAAAGAAAATTGAGGTGGATCAGACACACACTGAGGGGACCATCGAATGAAATCATTAAGTGGAACCCGAAAAGGAAACGACGAGTTGGGCATCCATGGGTGAAACAGATGAGGTCGTGTGAACAGGATATGAAAGCTACAGAACAATCGTGTGGACAGATAAAAAGGACTAGAGAGAACAAGACAAAGTGGAGATGTGCTGTTGAATCCCTATGTTCCAGCAGGAACCCAAAGGAACTACAACATAATAATAAATAATAGTCATATAGAATCAAATCGATATTCAAAGATTGAGTAACACAGTTTTAGGAGTGGTGTGTAAATAAATTATTTGCAAGTACACGTAATACACATATATAATTTGAATCAACCACACTCAATTGATTGCACATATAGACAAAATGCCACCTACCATGTGGTGTACGAGATGTATATTCTGGATCAAAATTTAGTATCTCATTAATTGACGAACAAGGAGGTTTAAATGGAGGTTGAATACGACCATTTAACAGATCATCCCAGTTGATTGTAGCAAAAAATTCATGACTTTTTAACTGATCGAATCCATCTGGCCCATGACCTAGATAAAACACAAACAAAAGAATAGAGAAATGAAAAAGTAACTAGGACAGACATACAAATAAAAATGCAAGGAATCATGGTGAAACAAAATTCAAACCACACAGTGTATTGCTAATAACCAACAAAAGTATTATGGATTGTACTTTACATTGGAATTATGTTTCAGTAGCTAAGTACACACACACACACAGTCCAGTGAACGTTTTGTTGAGCAGTGAAATGATAACAGATTGTTGAGGATAAGGTGAATTCACTCCATCTCATAGGGTTTGTAACATCTGCTTACAGGTTGACTAATAAAATAATTAGGTATTCATTGTGACAAAAAATTGGAGCGTCACCAAAACCAAATCCAACAGCCAGTTGCAGACTTTTATTAACAGCTGCCTTCTCTGGCTTCATACTGAAAATCAGATGACCAGCCAGAAACTCTGGAAACAAACGGATCAAGGACCTATGGCTTAACAAGTAATCTTAAAAAATGGAGATGGATAGGATACATGCTGGCGAGACCATCAAATGAGATCGCGTGACAGGCTATCACTCGAGTGGGACCCGAAAAGGAAACGACGAGTTGTCCGTGCGTAACATAATCATATGATTATGAGCAGTAGTTTGTGATCGAAACGTCATCAGTTAATATTGCTGTATAACACTGTGTGATTTATCAAAATAACATTTTATCCATAATGGAGTTATACTCTACCGCAGTGCCCAAGTTTTATACTTATATTAAAAAACACAACCTTCTAGAGATTTATTCCAAGACTATCAAATTAAAAAAAAGATGGATTAATCACCATTCACTCTTTCACTCAAAATTCTACCGTCTCTGCTTTTAAACTGCTGCGAGTTAATTATTACGTAGCTGATGTCCAAGTTCTTATTATTTATTATTGTTTCCTTTAGTTCCTAGAGGAACATAGGGCTTCAGCCGCACGTCTTCACTGCGTTCAGTTTTCCACCAACGTTTTCACCTGGTTCCACGTCTGCCCATATGCTTTCATCTCCTCTTCGCACAACCTCCTTCATGTCATTCTCCCATTGACAACCAACTCGCCGATTCCCACTCGACCTATGGCCTGGTGTGTGATGTCACATGATGGTTTTCTCAGAATATAGTCAACCCATCTCCATTTCTTCTTGAATATTTGTTGCACTGCTGGTTCTTGCTTGGTCCTCTCCTAGAGATCCCTGTTGCTGATTTTTTACTGGTCGGTCAACTGATCATGAGTAGTGAGCGAAGGCAGCTGTTGATGAGTGTCTGTAGTTTGTTTGAGGTGCTCTTTATGACGCGCCAAGTCTCTGATACGTATAGTAGCATTAACTTCACATGGGAGTTTAAAATTCGGATCGTTTTTTCATGCTGAGGAGTGCTGTTGATCTCCACACAGACTTTAGAAAAATGAAAACTCGCCTTGCCTTCCCGATCCTTGCTTTGATGTCCTCGTCAGTTCCGTCTACCCTTAGTTGAAACGATGCTTCCCAGGTCAGTAATCAGGTAAAGGAGGTTGCATCTTTCTCCCATTTACGCTGACTGATGTCTGATTTTGTTGCTGTTGGCCAGGAATATTCATCATCTCTGTTTTCTCTAAGTTCACCTGAAGTCTTATCTTCGCTGGACGCTTCTCCTGCCAACTTGTTGCTTTTCACTTGTATATCTCCCAGTTTATGGGAAATCACACAAATATCATCGGCGAAGTCCAGATCCTTCAAGTTTTTATGTGGGTCCATTTTATGCCTGTTTCCTCGTCGCCCACCGCTGTCTGTCGCATTATCCAATCTACCGCAATCAGGAGAATCATTGGAGATAGTAGACAGCCTAGTCTTAATGCAGTTTTCACTTCGAAAGATTCCGTGAGTTTCCCGTTGTGGATTACTTGGCATAATTGTGTGTAATTGTTGGCAGCACCCCTTAGTAGCACAGTAGTTGCCAAATAACCCCTCGATCGACTCTGCCGAAGGCCTTTTCAAAGTCGATGAAGTTGAGATAGACAGCTAACTGCCATTCAAACCTCTCTTCAATGATGATCCGTAGTGTTGCGATTTGATCGATGCATGACTTAGTCCTTCTGAATCAAGCCTGTTCCGGTCGAAGTTTTTCGTCCAGGGCTCGTTTGCTTCTCTCCAGGATGGTGTGGCCTAGCATTTTGCTTGGGATGGACAGGAGCATAACGCCGCGCCAGTTTTTGCATTGACTTAAATCTCCTTTCTTGGCAGTTTGAATAAGTAGCCTTTCTTCCGATCCGCAGGCACCTTGCCCTCTGCCCACACTTTCTCCAGTAGTGGTGTCATGAAGTCCGCTGATGTTTTCGGGTCCATTTCCAATGCCTCTGCTAGAATTCTGTCTGGTCCTGCCGCTTTTCCAGTTTTTAGCAATTTACTGCCCTCAGGATTTCTGTTTTCGTCGGAGGGTTGATGTCCACTGGTAGTTGTACTTCTACTGTTGCTAATTATTGGATACGTTGTAGGTGGCGGTCGATTAAGAAGTCTTTTGAAGTGTTCAGCCCAGTGTTTCCTTTGCTCCATCTCTTTGGTTATTGACTTCTCATTGTCATATTCCACTGGCTTAATTTGTGTTGAACGTTTTCGTGATAGGAACCTAGTTGTTTGGTAGAGTATGGCGAGGTCTCCTTTGCCTGCAGCTTGTTCTGCTTCACATGCCATAGCTTCATAATATCTTCTTCTGTCTTGTCTGGCACTCTTTTGTCCAAGTTAAAAGACAATAATCTATACGCCAATCAAAATCAATGGGCCCTATGATCATATCTCCCATGTTAGGTGGTAATAATAGGAGGAATAATATGGAGGTCAAGCATCAAGTGTTAAGCAAGAAGAGAAAGTCAATCGATCAGGTTGTGAGGCTACGACATGTGCTACGCATCCCTAGCCATCGGCCTTCCTCAACACCTAATGTTAGCTGACATACAATCAGACTGGAAAAGACCTAGTGATGGTCATATAAAAAAAATGGAATCAGTCCATCATATAGTTAATAGTTAGTTTTGAACCACGTAGGGAGGTGAATACTAACTGCTTAGCTGGGGTCTCGGGATCCTAAGAACCAATGAAGGCTGCAGGCAATTGGTGATGTGGCTCAAACTCATCGTTATCACTAGCGTATATCCATTCACTCTTTGTGATCTGCCAAGTTCAATAAGACCCTACTGTTTTTCCATGTTACTTCTCTTTCTCCCTCACATTTCTGCTTCTTGTTTCTTTCATCTTTCTTTTGAATCTCTTTTTTCTCTCCTTTGTGTGCTTCATGGATTGTGGCAACCCGAACTACTGCACTTCTGTGCAATGTTGTATGTTGAGACCAGTCAGTGGACCCAGTCACCAACTTTCAAGTCGAAATTATCTACTAAACTGGTGGTCAGATGTTAGCTTGGAGGGGAATATATCACAATTATACAGCCTACATGAGATTTAACTTAAAAGTGAACAATTTTTTGAATACTTTTGCTCCACAACTTTTTTAACGGGATTTAATTCAGCCAATGTTGCTCACAATAACCCGAGAGATTAAATTAGCAATGGTCATTGAAAAATAAAAAAACGATTATTCTGAAAAAGTTCACTTAGCCACGATTTCATTATCATAGCATCTATAAGTGAATTAGCATAGACAGTGTTTGTTCAAATATATATATATATATATATATATATATATATATATATATATATATATATAATTAAAATTTGACAATAAGTGAGAATGTTCAAGTGAAATAATGTTGGTCAGTACATACATATATGAATGATAAATCGATTAGAAAAATTTTATACAGCTAAAGGATAAAGCAAAGTGAGAAAACCACATAAATAAAAGCATGAATATAGCGTGAGCCTTATTAACAGATAAAGAAAATAATTTGTGGAAATGAGAAAGGCAAATATGATAATGTGTCAGGTCAAATTGGATAAGACAAGGCAAAAAAGAGGAATGCAATCTTGTTATCATTTAGAACAAAAATGTTGCAATTTTATAACAAATACCGTCAAGTACCATGTGTTTAATATGATGTATTAGGTTTAAATTTATGAAAGGGACTGTAAATATTCTTCTGCCTTCATATGGTGTATCGTCAGACTTTTCTCTTATGCTGAGGAAATTCAACCTGTAAGAAGGATGTATTAGTGGGTGTACGCTCTCTTTTACTCAGTAAAGTCACAAAATGTTCACTAAAGTAATGTAAAACATTCATCAATGTTTTTCCTGTGTACCTAGCTCAAAAAGAGTCGGTTAACATATAAGTACACATTGAAGTGGACATTGGATTTGTAGGAATTTGAATGACTACGGAGAACATTTTCTTAAGAATAAGGGACATTAGTGAATAGTTGGTTTGTGTAAGTTGCTTGTAATGCGAAGTTATAAAAAGCCGCTTCACTGGTCTTGTCACGACTAAAATTTCGTATTAATTGTCTGCTGTTAGTTCCCACAAATCTCAACAGACATCCATTCTCTATAAAGTTTGATTTTAGTTATTTCAGTTTTTTTTCTTCAACATTGTTTTCACTGAAAATCTCAACAGGCATTTTAGGAAAGAAATAATTAAATCCCCTATCGCCTACAAGAAAATATATGTAAAACGTAGAGCTGTTAGATCTAGGTAGATTATCTATAAATCGATGTTTACAGTTATACAACAGTTGTCTTTGCCAGTAGTTCATCAAGAAATCCAATAATCTAATATTTTTGCAAAACTTGGGCACTGTAATACTAGTATGTGTATTACGTATTAACGTATTTATTGGATAGATTACAAAGTGAAGCAGTATTATATACTGGATGAAATTTCGAGCACAATTTATTGTTAATAATCACGTCATAATCAGATCGAGAAATTCAGGAAATAAGTGCAACAGAAATCTGTATCTAATACCAAAGAGACCAGTAAAAAGACGTTATTGAAAACCAATAAATGTTTGAAAAATGACTACATTTCAGTGTACTGATAGATAGGTTGAAATCTAAGGATTTCATTCTAATAGGAGTAATAAACCCAAATGCAACAGATAAAACAGCTAAAAATGAAGTAAGCGCTTAGTGTATACAAGCATTAAAACGTTAGGAAAGACGAAAACAGAACGAAACTAGAAGTGGAAACCTTAAGCAACCTTGAGAATAACAAGGATAGAATAATTTCTAAATCAGACAAAGGCACTTCTACAGTGATATTAGATAAATCACGCTATTTGGAAAAAATTAATACCCGTATACAAATAGGACCGTATAAAAATGACAATTAATATTATTATGAGCAGTAAATCATATTCGAAACGTCATTCAGTAAATAATACTGTCTCGCTATGCGACATACTTTTTAAACAAGTTAATGTACAGAAGCCAAGGATTCAGTTTCTGAGTGCTTTATAAATGTTTTGTACATCAAAGTTATCACCACGCATGATGAAACCTTTATACAATTTGACCAATAGTTGAAATCAGTTGGAGGACCATTGGAAAACGTAGGAGTACCACACAGATGTTTCAATACGGTCTGGGATTCTTCATCAGTGTGTACCCACAGGGGTTCGAACCTAGGACCCACCAACGACAAGGCAAACTCGTAGACAATTCAGCCACTGGGACGTGATCCAATGGCGCATGAAATCTAACTTCTGCCAATTTGCGGTATATATATATATATATATTGTGTGTGTGCCGCGACCTCCAGACAATGTCACAGGTGAGTAACTGATCTCTTACCTGACTTGATGGACCCCGCTGGTTACCACTTCTCACCAGAAGAAGAGTCCCGAACTAGAAAAAAACACTATCTAGTGCTCCCAGATTTTCCAGTGCTTTTAAAACTGATATCAATTCGTGACCAAAACCGTAACCAATTGAATCCCTGCCAACCAACATGTGAAAACATTTTCAAACATTCAATTTGGAAAAGCTTAATCGTTCATAACCTGTTATAAGTTTATTTTTTTTCATCACTGGCTAGAAAGCATCAGCTAACAATTGAAATTGTGAATAATCCATAAAGATGGTACACCTCTGCTTTCAAATCAATCTGTTAGATATGAGACACATTAAGTGTGTGCCAAAGTACGGGATTTTTTCGGATATAATTTTAATATTTCTATGTGCTTACCATATTACCTTCATCCTTAAACACTTTGATAACCTGACTGTGATTTGTTTGTTATCTCAATCAACATTATCACATTTCAACGCTACCACTGTAACGTACTAATAAAGCAATGTTATGCTCCATTTTACTTCACATATACAAGTACAACTGTATGGATGGAGAAGCCCAGTTGTAGATGATATTTCCCCTATTCACTGAGACTTTGGAGAAAACAGAGATGCTTAAAATATCAGCAAGAGTGGCTAGAACTGCATAGGGCAGAAGTTAAACACTATTTAACCTCGCCTAGTTTATTAGTTGGCTAGTTTTCTAGCCGATCCCAGGGAGAAGGCCGTCGAATGAAATCACACGCCAGGCCCTTAAGTGGAACCCCGATTGGGAGAGAGGAATGGACCGTCAGTGAGAGGGTGACATGGATGAGATCGTGTGAAAAAGAAGGGATGGAAGATTACGGGTAGTCGTGAACTCAGATGAAGAAGACAGCACCAAGTAGAACAAAGTGGAGATTTGTTGCTGAAGCCCTATGTTCCACTTGGAACCCAAGAAAATGATGATAATAATAAGGATCATTAATTTATAATTCTGTAGTAGTTTCGATTCCTTTATATCAATGGACTGACATCAGAGACAACTGATCACTACACGTATGTGATAGAAACACTAATGAAAAGGGCGATAAATGAATCGATAGTTCTCTTCCGTCTACATATAAAACACATTTGACTGAATCCCTCATCGAATAGTAATCGGCGTAGTTTGTATGTATGCATGCAGTATAGTATGTATTGAATTCACGTGAACGAGTGCACAATCTGCCTATTAAGTGAACTGACAAATAAAGGCTTTTGGTGCATTTGAGTCAAAAATTTGCGATTAAAATATTGAATGGATAATTTACGCTTATAAGAGGACAAATATTCACTCAGTTGTAATACTATTTTTAATGTTTTATTTTAACAGACGATGCATGACCCAAAGGAAAAGTATATTGTGAAAGCTATCGAATGAGGAAAAACACCAGATTGCCAGGCTAGTGCTGGTTTAGAAATTAAGTTTAAAAGAAAAAAAACAGCCAGCAAACCATGTCTTCACTACAACAAGTCACAAATAATGAGACAGATTATAAGTAGATAATATTTCACAGCTAAAGTTAAAATTCGCCATAATTATTGATCACTGAGAAAATAGCAAAATGAAATGAGAAATAAAAATTATTTTTCTGCCATTCGGGAGACAAAAAACAAATAGGAGAAGTAGACCAATTGCAGTCACAAAAGAAAAAAACATAGTCAGAATATAAAATTAAAGGAGATTAATTCATGTGAAATACAAACTGAAATATGAAATACACAGCAGTCATTATAATGAAAAGTAGTGCATTCAACTATGAAACAAAGTGAATTAAAAAGTACACATGGATTGACGAAAATCGACAGCCAGTTAAACGAATGGGGTGATCTAAACAGATTACGGTCCAGTGATCAATCAGTAAACAAACAGTCAGATAAATCTGCTGTTCTTGATGTCAATTATCTAATCTAAATGATACATCCTTAATAGGCATAAATCACCACGGAATATACATGTATATCCAGTGTAAGGTGAATTTATGTATCGGCAGGAGATACGTACGCGCAGTGATTTACTGAGTAAGTTAACATCAGAAGAAGAACAGAGTGAAATGGCGATGTGTTTCTGAAGCCCTATGTTCCACTCGGAACCCAGGGAGATAATAATAAAAGATAAATAATAATATTAACGATATCAGAACACAACTGGTTCGTTTGAAATCAAAAGTATGCATTCTGAAATAGACATAAACAGAAGAAATAAATCCACATTTTTCTTACCTAATCGGTTTGATGGAGTTCGTTTGAAAAGGGCACGTAATAAACTCTGAGCTGAAGGACTTAGAAATTGTGGCATTGACAATTTAGCTCTAAACAGATAAAGAAAAGACGAATAGATCAGTTTTTTTCAAGTCAGCTAAAATCGTTATCTTAATGATAAATTAGCTCCAGAATGAGTGCTTTTCAAAAAATAGCTTCAGAGTAGACTTTTTCACCACGAACTTCTGCCTACTTATGACTCAGAGACCCCACCTACTGACAGACAGTGTTGTCGGTTTCCACCCGTCCTTATATTCTATTGATACAAATTAGAATTCAGAGACCACTGTATTCTGTGCCAGTGACTCAATGATCAAGGGGATCGCCTCATGAACTGGGCGTCTCAGTTTCCATTTCCGATGAGATCAGTGGTGACTACTACTCTTCCTAGAGTCCTAAATAAGAATGAAACAGCTATCCTGCACTTCATGGTTGTCAAAGATTTTCTTTCAATAAAATTAATCAAATCTCTGCAAACAAATACTACTTAAAAGTGACTTTTTCGAATAAGTAATGGAATAAGATAATCAGCGTTCAAGTTATCAGTAAAATAGGAGGAAATAGAGGCAGCAGCCTGAAGATTTAGAGTTAGATTTCTTTAAGTCATTTATATTTTATAGTGAAATCATGTAATTAAATATATTGCATTCAAGTGTAAGGTCTAAGGATCAAACAAAAATGTCAACCATTCGAGGAATCTGCACACATACAGTGACTGATATTTCAACTTATGAGAAAAAATAGAATCGTATTCATCTACTTGTTATGTTAAACGAAGTAAGATACAACAATGAAAACTGTGATCACTCAAGATCAGTGGTAACAAATATTATTTACTAAACTCCGAAAGCTATGCCGCTTTTATTTCAAACCTATGTTATTATAACTTCATTATGCTATGATATGTCTAAACTGATCTTCACTAATTTATATGATCTTACATTAAAACAGCTTCGGGGGCATAGCGGTTAGCACGCTCGCCAACCATGCACATGGTCCGGGGTTCGATTCCCGGCCGACGCACTCCTTTCCCTCGCTAAGCCAGTAATAAAGCTGGTAAAGACAAAAGGTTAGGCATGAGACCAGCAATCCCATCTTGATACAGAAACTTCAAGCCTTCTAGCTTGAAGCCCTATGTTCCACTTGGAACGTGATACATTAACGAATCCCAAGCCATCGTAGATACATTTTTCCTGGACGACTAATTAAAGTTATCGCAATAACAAAAGAGCACTAAATTTTTTTTATTCAAAATGATAATAGGGCAAACAGAATGAATAAAATGTAAACCCTATATGGGTAATCTTTTCTACGGAAACTACTGACTTTATTTTATTCTTACTATAAATTCTACGATATAAAAAAGGTTACCAAACGATGTAGAACATTTTAGATCGTCAAGACAAACAGGAAGTCAACCGGAAAAAAATAAATGTATGGAGGATGGTAAAACCTGTCCAACGCACAATGCATAAAGGTAACAAAAAGTACTGGACTTAAAAACAAGACACAGGAAAGAAATTAAATGTTAGGGTTTATAATAGGAATCTGTAAAACCACTAGCTCTCAATGATATAATTTCGCTTATCTTTCCCTTATAGTAACAACTACTTGATTTTGTTATTTAAACAGTGTCGGACTTACCAATTAGTAAACTAATGCAGTTCAAATACCTGAATCAAATCTCCTAAATACTCTCTAATCGATGGTGAAAATTCATGTAATGAATGATGATTAGAAGTAAAGAGGAAATCTGGGCCGCTAAAGGACTTGAACTGGTAGCCCCCCTTGGATTACCATTCTAATGTTCTGTCAAGTGAAATAAAGGTACAACTATCGACAAAGTCATTATGTCACTGCAGTCGTCAACAGCAGTTGTTCAATCAAAGACCATCCTAGACAGTTTCACTACTAACTAACAACTTGTAAAATTATATTCAAGAGAAAAAATGTAATCTTATACTCGTAGAATTACCAAAACCACTTACTGATATGATGTATAGAATTAACGGTTAGCGACTTCTTTTGTCTTATATTAGTGTCAGATTATTTGGTTCATTTATTAAGGATGGTACATGTGCCAGACAGTTGAAGGTATTTGTCAGGAAGCCCTGGACTTAGGTCTCGTGCTTATTTGCACTCGTCAGAAAGGTATTTCTACAGTCTTGAAGAGAATGACGTCCACCTCCAAGTGTTGCAGGAAGAGACCTTACCACTGAGCTACTCTAGGTGATAGAATTTAGTCACTACTAAAACTAAGAAGTAGACAGATAACATAGTTTTCACTCTTCTTACTAATCAATAATATATGTATGAACATTTCATTCATAATAATAATAACAGTTAAAAATGTAGATTTATTACTGATCCATTCATTTTCAGCTTCATCATGTCAACAGTAAAATTCTCGAATTTTTACAAAATTAGGATCTTATCCAGCAACATTTTTATCCATGTTTTCTTTATACCAATAGGACCGTATTTTTTGTTGCTGTTTCTCTCTGCCTAGTTTTGTTCTTGTTTGATTCTTTTCCCCTGATTAATCGCTGACATGTTACACAATCAATATATTCTTAAGAGCAAACGTAATTTAGAAAAATTCACTTTCTACTATATATGAAATCTTATCAACTTCTTTTTGCATAATAAATTATTTAAAAGCATATAAGAAAAATGTTTTTTGAAGGAAGCATCATAATATTTTACATAATCAAATTTGTATGAGCGTCGGTGGCACAGCGGTAGAATATTCATCAACCACGCATGTGGTTTAGGGTTCGATCCCCGACCGACACACTCATTCACCTTGCTAAGCCAGTAATAAGACTGGTAAAGAGGGAATGTTGGGCATGAAGCTGGCAAACCCATCCTGTAAAAATAAAACAGCACTACTACCTAAACTTCAAAGCTCTAGCTTGAAGCCCTATGTTCTACTGGGAACGTAAAGGAATAAACAAAATAGGTGTGAAGACTATACACTGGCTAGCATGATATTGAACAAGTAAGTATTGAGAATGCACTAAATTCACTGCGTAGATAAATATTATTGATTTAAGGATAAAACTTAAGCAGTGTGGTAGAGTATATTTCCATTATGAATAAAATTTATTTTGATGATAAAGTCATACAGTGTTATACAGTAATATTTACTGATGACGTTTATAGCACAATTTTTTTATCAAGGTGACCATGAGATGATAATGAGCAAAAACATTGTGTTCGAAACGTCATCAATTAGTATTACTGTATAACAGTGTGTGGCTTTATCTAAATAATTTTTTTATACCTAATGGCATTATGTATTTTGAATAGAATTCAAAAACTACTTACTTCATTTGCAACAAAATTTTAATCAAATACGATAGCTGATCTCTTTGTATATCCATATATTTAACTCGTGAATAATTGAAATAAAGTAATAATAATAACAAAATAAAAAAAAGGCGGACGAAATATTTTGTAGGCGTACAAACTTATTCCAGGTAGTAACAACTCTTTTTTTGAGTATATATATATATATATATATATATATACATTAACGCAGCAAACACAGCTCTAGAAAATTTCAAATAGTAGAAGTTCCTGTTGTCGAAATATAATTAAATCACACAACTAAACTATTCAAATAACTGAATAGTGCTAATATAGTTGAACACACAGCCTATTTTGTATTACTGATAACTAGAAATATCAGATGATATCAGTAATTCAAAGACGTTTAATTCAGTATTATACAAAGTACTATTTCATTCTCAGTAATTGACATCAATCTTACACTTACAAAAATGCAGCTTATTACCAGGCTGTTTTTTTTCAGCACCAGACTAGACAGTAGTCATTTGTAGTCATTTATAAATCGACAAGATAAAGATAAATTCATTTCTGCCTATCTAAAAGTGTTAATTGTGTATTATCAAAAAAAAGGGAATTCCTCATTGACAAATTAACCAGGAGACTTACTTTAAAATCATTTGCATTGTATCTTTACGATTTTCATTATGAAAAGGTAGCATGCCAGTAAGCAGTTCATACATAAGCACACCGAAACTCCACCAATCAGCTGCTGTACCGTGTCCATGTCTATTAACAACTTCTGGAGCCATATATTCCACTGTCCCACAAAATGAGTACGTTCGATCGCCAGCAGATTCAAAAATTGACTCTTTAGACAGACCAAAATCTGTCAGTCGTACATGACCTTCTTCATTGAGCAAAATACTTAATTATTGGCATTGAAATAAGAAAATAGACAAGCAGAATTAAATAATTCCATACATATGTGATTACTAGTGTTAGACTGGAACGATCTTAGCCGTTCAAATTCACTTGCACTATAACTTCAGAGTGAAGAATATGCATCCTGAAGTTTGGATATTAGTGTGAGAGTTTTCTGTGAGTTGTGTTTTTCTGGTAAGAGATATCTTAAAGTTTTGGAAGTCTAAGCATAAATCACTTATTCACCTATGTGTCTTTCTAATTATATTCTTGTTTTTTTATCCCTGAGACCAGTATTGCTTCCAGCACTTTGAAGCATTTACGATTAACTTTGTCCCAAATACACTGATACAAAATTTTAAATTAGGAACCTGATAAAATCTTCAGTTGTCACCTGTATTTCTAAGGCTTTTATTTGGCAACAAATGAAGTGGATATGTGGCTTCCTATTCAGTAAAAATGTAAAAGTTACAGTAGAAATGAAATTTTAGCATGGTTTATCACGAGGAACGTGCCAAACACTTGATTCGACTTTGATTTTCTTCAAAAATCAGGTAAATAAAATATCAAGCGTTTTTTACCTTTGAAGTGGGAACATTGTTTTATAAGATAATTTGGCGTTGACTAGGTTGCATTTCTGTTTTCACTGCAATCTTTTAATGCACTGTTTTAATTTACCAATATAGTTCTTAGATAAATGCATTTAAACATAAGACATGACACAAACATCAATTACTCTCGAGGAACGACACAACTATAGTTCTAGAAGTAATATTCAATACTCTCATATTTCATTACTTCTTTGCGATATGAGTAATGCGGTTATACATTCGTTCATCATCAAATAGCATCTAAGCATTCGAAGCTGACATTTTCAGCAACAATAAAGTACTGTCGGAAATTTCAGTCTAACCTAAATAGAAAACTCTGTGATAAAGTCAATAGTCTCGTTTCTTACGATAAAGTACCTGCTTTGACTTTCTTTATGAAGCAAACTTTATTTTAAGTATGAAGAATCATTTACTTGGTCCACTTCGCTCTGTAACCAGAAATATAAACAAAATGCTCTTTCGACTTTAGAGAAAACCAAGTGTTAGCGATTACCGTATAAGCAAAATATCATCTAAACTGTATTATGACCGGGTTTATCATTGGAATTTATTATTCGGTATTCAATGATAGAGATCTTTAAACCCAGTGCAATTTAAAAAACTAGCAAGCTTTATACATTAAAGTTATACCTACAAACGAACAAGTTCTGAAAGCTTTACGAAATTTCGCTTTTGAATTTATCTTGTTGTTGTTGCTAGTTGGGTTTTCTACTGGTATTAAACACTAAAAAATCCGTAACTATACACAGTTTAGTGTCTTCAAATTCCCACTTATTAAATTTTAGATAACTTTTAAACTACCAACAGGATATATCTGTGCCGTCTTACACATACACAAATATACATGTATGCATACGAATAAAAACGATGAAATTTAAGACATCACAGGTTTTGCAGCCGAATACATAAGCCACAACAAACAACACGTTAAACTTAAGAGTCCTAGACATTTCACAGCTTCGGGAGTGATAGGCAGCAAACTCAATGAAGTGTGAAAAATCCTGAGACATCTTAACAAGAACTCCAAAATATTAGCCTGTACCATCCTTGGGGTTTGAGTGAAACAATCTACATCACTCCATATACTATAAATCAACAGCCAAACACAAAATAAAATGAAACTGTACTCGTTGTAACATCTCTTGCTTTAAATTATTATGAACTTACTTGTGGAAACCTGTGAGTTGGTCAGCATAAAACATATTCCGGTCACTTCAACTGATGAAGGAGAACAACCTCATCATTTTGCCTATTCTTCCTCTCTAATGTTACTTAGCAGTTAGCTTCGTATGACTTGAAATGGAAAATTTATAGTCAAAAAGCCGTGATTCATTTGTCTCCTACTCTATACAGACCGTGTTGTACAGTTGGAAAGTAGGACACAACAAATGACTTCATATGTAAACATCCTCTGGTGAGTTACTTGATATCACGTTGGCGCAGAAGATTACACAACTTGATCTTTTGTTGGAAATTAGTTAATGAAGGACGTTGTAACATCTCAAGCGAATTCGGAATTCGTGGAGACCAGTCCCATAGCTGAATCAGTGCATTGTAATAAAGTTAGTTAAAGGACTCTCGGCTCCATACTTAGTCTCCATAACACCATATAACTTAGGATCTTAGACGTACCAGGCAAGACATGTTTTTTTCTCATAAAATAATATGGCCACCGATCCTCACAATTCTCGCATGACTTTCCTGTATTTACATGCAGTGAGCAGCATCTCATTTAGGCTAGTTAATAATTTCTTACCAAATTTGTGAAATATCAACTTTGTGAATTTAATCAAGCATTAAACATCCACATTCAGTAGCTCCGTATAAGCCAAAATAAATTTCAGTGATTCAGTCTAAGTAATACACACTGTCATAGGCAAAAAATTATTTACAAATAAATACTTGGAAGTTATGCGATATACTCCTGATCACAACATATTAACTAAAAATAATTTTTCAAAGTATTCTTACTTTTCGGGCTTTAGATCCCGATAAACTATCCCATTGCTGTGTAAGTAATTTAAGGCCAATGCAATTTCAGCCAAATAAAACTTAACGTCTTCTTCTGTAAACATGTACTGCAAAATAAAATAGAACTTAAGACTATACAGTTACCTCCTTTGACAAACGAGAGAAAAGATCACCACCTCGAAGGAACTCTAATATTAAGTAAACTTTTCCCTCGGTTTGGAAGGCTTATAAAGTTAGGTTAGAGTAATGAACATACCATAATGCAAATCTACTATGAAAGGATGTTTAATTCTAGTTAATATGTCTCTCTCCAACTTCGTCCTGATTCTGTCACGCACTACAATTTCGATAACGATATCCAGATAGCTAACCTTTCAGCACGGCCTTTTTAAGGACTTTCATCGCATACAAAGTCCCTTTATCACTGCCATTGTTTTTCCTGACCAAGAAAACCTTAAGGTAATTAGTGACTAGTGCAGTTCAGCTAGCGTACCTTTCCGAATGATCCTTGGCCAATAACATAAAGCAAATCAAAGCACGAGGCGTCAACTTTCTCTGACTTGTGTGCTAAGTTCTCAATATTGACTTCAACCTCAGAAACGTCAACCTAAAAGTTATCGAACATTTGGAATACACTAACTTTTTGACACGTTTCTTCCGGTGACTCATCTATAGAAATACACTTTGTCTTTCTATAATTTTATGAACTTAAAGGACTTACCTCCTCACTAATATCACTTGCCTTCAGAAATGGTTGACCTAAATGAGCAAGCGGCATCTCATTGGTGTTAATCACACCTTTGAAACAGCACACTTTTTGCTTTCAATGAACTCTAACATTGAGCATGTATAAAATATAAACAATATCCTGGTATCGAGGTAAGTTGTTAATTCAACATAGGTTAAAAACCCCGTTGAATTTTTTAGACGATACGTCATGTTGCTATCACATCCTGCATTGTTACTTAGAATTCCTGAATATCATTTTACCACATCCAATATTCTGATTACGAGCTAGTATAAACCAGTGATTTCTTTGAGCTCGCTTCATGATTGTGAGGTAGAGGTTTCAGATCTTCGGTGAGCTTCTGTGTAGTAAGTCCCGCCACTCGACTGCTTTAGCTCTGGTAGACTCCAAGAGGAGTGGTGTGGGGATTGGTAAAGATGTGGTTTCTGGTATGCAGTATGTTAGGACTGTGTTGCTGCCGTGAATGGAGTTTGACCTAACTCCCGTTGGTCATTTGGTGTAGTCGCAAAAGCAGAATAGTAATAATAATAGGTTGTAGTGTAGATAATATAGTTTGAGATAAGTGGAATAATAAAGGTGACCTAAGGAAAAGATAGAGTGAGAGAAGGCAGAACAGGTTGTGGGGATTTAGTTTGTACGCTTATCCATTGACAGTATGGTTTTAAGTTTTATGAGGATAAGCCATTGAGACACAAACCTTGCGTTTCTGCATGATTGTCTAGCTTCCGCTTAAAAATCTCCACGGATGGCACTGCAGTTACGACCTCAAGGTGTGGCCTCACATATGTCTTATGTAACCTTAAGAACAGTTCGGCAGTAAGAGCTCCCAGCTGCCTATGCATAAAGTGTAAAGTTGCGTAGGCTCTGGCGACGTCCCTTGCGTAATTTCCACTGGTGTCTAGCTTTTCTGTTAGAATAAGACCTAGATCGCGCTCTGATGGAACACAACTCAAGTTCTGGCAACCAATGGTGTAATTTACACTCTGTGACCTGCCGGAATGAAGTTGCACTACTATGCACTTCTTTAGGTTGAAAGGCATTCCGTTAGCCAGAGCCCAGTTTCCCAGAGTTTGCAGGTCAGCCTGAAATCTATTTGAGTCTTCCGATGAGTTTATTGCTCTCCGAATCTTTACGTCGTCAGCATAAAGAAGCGCAGAGCAGTTTAGTTGGGAGGGCAGGTCGTTGATAAAAATCAAAAACATCAACGGCCCTAGGATAGAACCCTGAGGAACCCCTGATGCTGAGGTGTGCCAGGATGATAGGATGCGGTTGACTTTGGTGCAGAATTCTCTCTCGCCTAAGTAATCTTTTAGCCATGCGAGAAGTGCTCCAGAAACACCCGCCTTGCTTATTTTGTGAAGGAGCAGACCATGGTGAACTGTGTCGAATGCTTTCGCAAAGTCGAGAAAGATCACGTGGACTGGGACCTTTATGTCCCAGGATAGTGTCCAATCGTTCCAAGCTAGTAGAAGATTCGTCACGCAGGATCTTCCCCTCCTGAAACCGTGCCGTGCTTCGTGAAGAAGGTTAGTCCCGTCGCAGTATTTTCTCATGTGGTCGTCAATGAGACTTTCCAATATTTTCGATATCACTGGAAGTAGAGCAACCGGTCTGTAACTGGTCGCATTCTGCGGGTCACCACCCTTGAAGATAGGGGATAGGATTGCTCGTTTCCATTCACATGGAAGTTTCCCTACATCAAGGGAGTGTTGGAACAGATCACCTAGGGGTTGGCAGAGACTTTCTGAACACTACTTCAGGACGGATGGTCTGATGTCATCACAACCCGAAGACTTTCCCGAAGCCAACTTTCCCAATTTTACAAGTACCATAGCCGGGGTAATTTGAAATGTACCCAGCAGGTTTCCGCGCGTTGGTTTTGCGATGTAATCTTGATGTTCTGTGGGGGTAATATCTTCGTTACTGTTTAGTAGCCTGTGAAAGGCTAGGCTGAATGTCTCTACCATTTCAAGACTAGTAGGAGATTTCCCATCAGAACCCACTAGATTGCATGCTCCCTGGTTGGTCGGTCTTCTTTCGGACATAAACCTGTATATACTTTTGGGGTTCACGAGAAGCTTATTGGCGAGGTTTCCCTGAAATGTCCTTCTATCGCTCCGGACTCGTATGTTACATCGATTCCTGAGTTCAAGGTACACTTCATGTTCGGGTTGACTCTTTGATCGTCGCCACGCAAACCAGGCTTTTCGCTTCGCCTGCAGAAGGCGTTGTGTCCCCCTTTTTAGCCATGAACGTTGCTTCCTAGCTTTTGGTGTGACTAAAGGAACAGTGTCTGAGACCGCCTGGTGAATGATCTCCTTTACCACTCTCCAGTGTTCTTCTACTTTTACCTCTGTCCATTTTTTAGGCCAATTTGCTTCAGACAGAAGTCTTCGCATTTTGGTGTAATTGGCTTTGTGTTCGAATTTAAGTTACTCTGACTTTTTTAATCAGAAGGCCCCGAATGAAGTTAAGAAGCTGACTTCTGTTTTCAATATGCTAAGCATTTCGGTACACATGCTGAATTGTTTCCATCTTAGCATGCTTGCTTAGAAGAAGTTGGCTGCGAAACAAATGTATTCCACCTGGAAAGCAGTAAGTTAATTCTACTTACCTTGATGAACCGCAGACGATCGTCGGGCCGCGCACACTGATCTCAAACTTCCAAACAACCGGAATCTCGGATAGGTTCTTGGGTAAAGGATCAAAGGGAGAATCGATTGAAACATAAGATTATAATTCGTCTGGGCTCTGTGTGAACCCACAATTCAAGTATGCATACTTGAGTCCAAGTTTAAACTTCGTGTCACATTATTATTATTTATTATTATTGCACCTTGGGTTCCTAGTGAAACATAGGGCATCAACTGCACGTCTCCACTTGCCACTTCTGTCTTCTACTGTACTTTTCACCTGCATCCATCTTAGTCCATACTGTTTCAACTCCTCTTCACACGATCTCCTCCATATCACCCTTATACTGACGTCTTACTCGCCGCTTCCCTTTCGGGTTCCACTCGAGCGACGGCTTGACGCGCGCGCGATTTCACCCAGCGGTGGCCTCCTCAGCGAGTGTCCAATCCATCTCAATCCATTTTCTCCCGCATATTTGTAGGTTGACCATTGGTTCTTCTCTTGTTTCTTCCCATAGTTTCTTGTTGGTGATTCTTTCCGACCCGACCATCTCATCTCCAGTATAGAGCGAAGACAGTTGGTGATAAAGGTCTGAAACAGGCTGTTGGGAATATTCTTTGTGACCGGCCCACTAGGTTTTTGATCCGTATAGAAGAACTGACTGACTTGACGTTTGTATTGAAAATATGACCGAATTTTGCTGTTGATGCTGAGTGACGAAGATTTCCAGATTGGTTTCAGGTTGATGAATGTGTTTCACACCTTCCCGATTCTCGCTCGATTTGACATCCTCGTCCGTTCCGACTTACTGTAGTTGGGACAATGCTCCCTTAATAGGTGAATGAAGTAACCTCTTTCAAATCCCTCCCGTTGATGGTGATTGGCTGCTGACTAGATGTTGCTGCTGTTGTTGTTGACGTTGTTGGTTGGTTGGTTGTTTTCATCACCTCCGTCTTGTCTATGTTCACCTGGAGTCCTGTCTTTGCTGTTTCTTCGACCAGTTTGTCGGTTTTCGCTCGCTTGTAAGTCTTCGATTTTGTGTGACATCAAACATAAATCATCCACAAGCGAAATCCAGGTCTTCTAGGTTCTTCACGTCAGTCCAGGATATTCCTGTCTTCTCGTTTCCCACAGTCCGACGCATAATCCAATCCACCACAATTAGGAATATCATTGGTGATAGTAAACCAGTGTGGTGAGAGCAGGCTTCTAGCCGATTGGTTGGCACTAATCTACGTTAAGGTCTAGGTCACTAATATGGGCCGTGAACAAGGCTGAGTCAACAACCAATCACAGCGAAGTTAACGTGGCAAAATATGATTCGCAGATAGAGAACTCTGTTTGTCAAGGAATCCCGAAACAACCAATCAGAAGCCTGCGTTTGTTTACCTAAACAACCAATCAGATGACTGCGCTTGTCTATAATAATGTTGTCTGAAATATGTATAAATACGTGTTGATTTTCATAATAAAACGATCTGTTGCCTGGCCCTTGTCTTCTGTTGTTACATTTGGTGTCGCTGCCTACCGACAAATGAAAAGCCTATACCCTGCAGTTTTTGATGGAGACATATGGATCTTCGGGCAGGACTTCAAGGCTTCTGCGCAGTTGAGTGGCGTTCAAGATCTGTCAGCGATGGAGCTGCTACTTGAGACGCTGCTGGGAGGTCGGGCGAAAGCAGCATATGAAGGTGTGGGCCGAAGTATGGACGAATGTTCGACAGGGTCAGGCAAACAGTTTCCAAAGTGGGAAGGACCATATATGGTCACTTCGAGATGGGGTTACGCAGACACAGTCGCAATGGCGAACAATGAGAGGCGCGTGAACGTCAGCGAGCTCCAGAAATGGATACAGCGAGACAAGCCAACGATGACGCCTGCACCAAGTAGATCAAGCCGACTTCAGTCGCACGTATTTGACGGGGGGACGAGTGTGGTGAGAGCAGGCTTCTAGCCGATTGGTTGGCACTAATCTACGTTAAGGTCTAGGTCACTAATATGGGCCGTGAACAAGGCTGAGTCAACAACCAATCACAGCGAAGTTAACGTGGCAAAATATGATTCGCAGATAGAGAACTCTGTTTGTCAAGGAATCCCGAAACAACCAATCAGAAGCCTGCGTTTGTCTACCTAAACAACCAATCAGATGACTGCGCTTGTCTATAATAATGTTGTCTGAAATATGTATAAATACGTGTTGATTTTCATAATAAAACGATCTGTTGCCTGGCCCTTGTCTTCTGTTGTTACACCAGCACCCTTGTCTGACTCATGTGTTTACTCCAAACGCCTCGCTCAGTTTTCCGTTGTGGATCACTTGACATGCGCCGTTGTCGTACAGCTGTTGAATAAGGTTGATGAATGTTTGGGCTACGCCGTAGTACTTGAGTAGCTTCCAAATTACTTCACGATCAATGCTGTCGAAGGCCTTCTCAAAGTCTATAAAGTTGAGATAGAGGTTTGATCGCCATTCCATGCTTTGTTCGATGATGATGTGTAGAGTTGCAATTTGGTCAGTACATGATTTGCCTGACTTTCCTGAATCCAGGTTGTTCTGGTCGG